TCGTCAAACATATATGTACTGATAGTAATGCGACTTCATATTAAATATCAATGATCTATCACAAAAAGTTCCTATCAAACTAACTTAAACTGAAAACTTAACAATTGTTGACGCTGTTGCCGTCAAAGCAATCCTTATGTCCCGCTTTACGCGACTTTCGTCGCAGGCGAGACAAAAACCACTTCTCCAGATTTGAACCTCAAACTCTCATTGAACAATGCATAAAAGGAAAGGTCAATTTCCCCTGTATTTGTTGCACTCTCAGGGTCAAAATCTTAAGAGTTGTAAAATCCTGTTGTTGTTGTTTATTGTCAAATTTTGCATCAAAGGAATTCATTGACAAAATTTATTTAATTTGTATTTGAAAGACAAAACATGTACATGATAGCTTTACTTCCAACAGAAATTTGGTTTTGGTTAATGATGTTCTACATTTTTTAGATAAATACTCGATATTTGCCAAATCTGTCAAAATTGCAGTTTTTCAGGAGTTAATCATTTGGTGATCTGTTAAGAAATAAACAAATATAACAATACAACTAAAAGTAAACACATTTGACTGTGATAATATGAATTTAATTAAAATTTAAGTTCTTTTTGAAATTGGCCCTGGTCTAAAATATATTCTCGGGAAATTGGCTTTACCTCTTTGTCCCAGAACCAATAGATCAAAGTGTCTTACCTTGAATCACTGACTATACCCACAACATTGGTTTAAAAAATTAGAAAACAGGTAAATACTACCTAAATAACCACATTACAACACATACCACATCTTGTTATAATACAGATAAAGGGAGACAAATCATGCATTTTGTGATTGGAAATTTTCAAACAAGTGATCTAGATGAAAGAGTTGTAATTCAAATTAGAATTTGACTTGTCACACTGATGCTTTTTTATATTTAACTGTAGGCTGATGACAACAATTTATAAAATTTTTCAAATAAATTAATTAATGATTTTTAAAAATAAATAATATATAATGTACAAAAAATACTTCAGAACAACTAAAAATATAATAGTTCAACAATAAAATGACATTTCTGAAATGTTTACAGGACAGATTTTGAATGGATTTAAAAACATTAAGGGGAGTGATTAAACAATACATCAATACTTAAAAATAATTAAAATAAAAACTATTTTTTTATTTATAATGTTTAAAGTATAAATATAAAATTTATAAATTCTAGACATAAAATGAAAATTTAACTGTCTCAAAATGAAAAATTATTCTTTTTCTAGGTAAAATATTTTTTCCTTCAGGGCACTATCTTGTATTAAAATTAATTAAAGTACAGGCTGTAAAATATGATTTTAAGTAAAGACTGAAACTTTTTAAATATGGCCCCGGTGTGAAATAAATAGGGGGAAATTGGCCTGACCTCTTTGTCCCAGAACTAGTAGACCAGAGTGTCTCACTGATTCCCACAACTTCGAAATATCAGAAAAAAGGGCAAATACTACTTAACCAACCACAATTAAAGGGAGACAAGCCATGCTATTTGTTGTAGACATCTTCAAACAAGTGATCCAGATGAAGGAGGTGTATTTCAAATTACAACTTGAATTATCACACTGATACTTTCTCTAACTGTAGGCTAATGACAACAATATAGCATTTTTCAAATAATTTAATTGATGATTTTTAAAAATAAATAATATATAATGTACAAAAAATACTTCAGAACAACTAAAAAATTAATAGTTCAACAATAAAATGACATTTCTGACATATTTCGTAATAGGACGGACTTGGAATGGATTTAAAAACAATAAAGGGGACTGATTCAATAATACATCAATAATTATTCGTCTCATGCTTAAAAACATAAAATAAAAACAAATTCTTCATAAAGGGTTTATGCATTCTCGACATAAAATGAAAATTTAGCAGTCTCTTAAAATGAAAATATATTTATTTTTAAGGTTATATTTTTTCCTTTAGGTCACTGGTAAAGGTCTTGTTTGTACTCATTTTTTTACTTATTGTACTTTAAATTCAAGATTTCCATTTCATCTCTTGTATAAGAGATAATAAAAAATGAAAACAAGTACTCTTGGAGCCATGACATCACAATAAATATAGTTATGACATAATTAAGAAGATTTTTTATATGTTTTATGAATACAAATATATAAATTTGTAAAAATTAAGTATTGTATGTGTCTTTTTGTCAATCTAAATCACAGGGAATACCTTAGTTATAACCATGCACATACCTATATTTTATTTCCAAACAATTTTCATATGATTTGTAAAGGTTTTTAAACAAATTTTGTCCTGCTATTAAGAAATGCATAGCATCTTGCAGACCTGAGCTACTATGCCGTAGCAAAATGTCCCCCACCACTATGCATGAGGAATTAAATTGTGTGTCACAATGTGAAATTGTGGTACGATATTCAAAAATCCGATGACGTCAACGAAAATGCTAAAATCTAAATGACAGTAAAATATAATAGACAAAGGAAGAGGGATCTATGTTAAATGGTGTCAAGAGGATTTGTGTTGACAAAGTGTCATTGTGGGACATTAGTAAAAATAAATGGTTTAAGTCCCGTTACTTCTATTTCAATTGTCGTATTAAAATAACGGTACAATACAGTCAACAACACATGATTGCAAACAATCCTACCAAGTATAAGAGTTTTCTATAAAATGGACTCGGAGGAGTTGCCTTCACAAGGTGACATTGTTACTATACTCCATAATATTAGTCAAAGTCCATAACCCCCTTAAAATCAAACTGATGTTACAGCACTGTCAAAAGAAGGCGACAAAAAATAATCCTACCAAGTATGAAAGATTTCAGCCAAACAGTCTATGAGTATTGATGTGTTTCGAATGGACGGACAGAGACCCCACGACATCACAAGTGGGGGATAATAAATGTTTTGTTAAGTAGAAAAGCTTTGCATACATTTATATTAGGAAATCAATACTAAAACAAAAGTTTTAACTGTGTGCATAATGGTGTGAAATAAAGAGAACTTCTTGAAAATTTAGTTAACAAGTTTTGACAGAATGTATTATTTTCTGCTAAACTAAAACTGAACTTATAAATAAATAGTAGAAATAAATGAACATAAAATTACACAAAGTAAAATTTACATTTGTATTTGGAAAAGCAGACTACGGAATACAAATTCAAACTGTCTGACCAGTTTTGATCTGTTGAAGTCATAAACACGTTTTGAATGAAATAAGATGATTAAAAAATGTCCAAAACCAGAAAATTTAACTGCTTAGTAATGTTAAGGCAAAAGAAAATAAGAAAAAATTACATAAATTCAACTACAGTAAATATCTACTGGAACTATTTCTATAATAGTCCCTAATATCTTTTAAAAAAATTATAATACTGTTGTTATCTAGTTACCATCTAAAAAGATTATGCCTGGGTTATTACTCTAAATTTGACCTTGATATATTTAGTTATATATTGTTGTTATAATAGTATAAATTTGCGAAGTGTAAACCTAAATCTGAAACTTTGGACCTGTGTTTCTAAAAAATGAACTTTAACTCTAAACAGCTTGAATGACATTTTAAAAATATTACCTTCTTTCAATATATAAGTATCATGGAAAATTAGTCATCAAAAGTTACTCCTAACAGATGATGTTAAAAAATAAAATATGCATAAAATAAAGCAAAATATCACAGTGGTTCAAATCTATCACTGATATGGGAGAATTAATACCTTACACTGAGAAAAAATATTACATATATTCTCTTAACAGTGCAGTTTCTTTTCTGACAAAAAATACATAGGAATATATGAATAATTCTAATTTGGATTTCAGACAAGGTATATGTAAAATGGAAATTTTTCATCTGGGGTTTATATTCACTAATTTTCAATGTGATTAAAATTCGATGTTGTTATATGCTACACTCCCGTATCAAAGCAAAAACTAACAGCTGATTTGAAATAGATTGACTAATTTTATGATTAAAATAAAATCTTGGAACATACTTCCTTACATAAATTTGGTGTATAAGGAAGATCAGGGAGAGGAACAAGAAAAAGTAAGAAATTAAAAATCCTCCTAGAAATCGTAAAATTTAAATTCTGTAAAAATTAAAGAACCTTAGTGAGCACACATTTTCATTGGAGAAATAAAATATGTGTAAGAAAAAAAAATTGTATAAGAAAAAAAAATTGAATCATAATTTCCTGTCAATATGCACATCTACATAGTATGTCCTTATTATCTACAAAGTTTCATGAAATTATGTTGTGTGGTTTCAGAGGAGTTGCGATGACAAACTGTTGCAGAAGTACATTGAAGCAAATAAGTTCAAAGGGGCGTAACTCCTAGAAAAAAATTGAATCATAATTTCCTGTCGATATGCACATCTACATAGTATGTCCTTATTATCTACAAAGTTTCATGAAATTCTGTTATGTGATTTCAGAGGAGTTGTGATGACAAACTGTTGCAGTAGTACATTGAAGCAAATAAGTTCAAAGGGGCGTAACTCCTAGAAAAAAAATTGAACCGTAATTTCCTGTCGATATGCACATCTACATAATATGTCCTTATTATCTAAAAAGGTTTCATGAAATTCTGTTGTGTGGTATCAGAGGAGTTGCGATGACAAACTGTTGCAGAAGTACATTGAAGCAAATAAGTTCAAAGGGGCGTAACTCCTAGAAAAAAAATTGAACCGTAATTTCCTGTCGATATGCACATCTACATAGTATGTCCTTATTATCTAAAAAGGTTTCATGAAATTTTGTTGTGTGGTATCAGAGGAGTTGCTATGACAAACTGTTGAAGCAAATAAGTTCAAAGGGGCGTAACTCCTAGAAAAAAAATTGAACCGTAATTTCTTGTCGATATGAACATCTACATAGTATGTCCTTATAATCTAAAAAGTTTTCGTGAAATTCTGTTGTGTGGTTTGAGAGGAGTTGCGATGACAAGAAACAGGACTGACGGACAGACAGACGGGTCAAAAACATTATACCCTCCGCAACTTGCGTGGGGTATAATAAACCACTTTATGGTACTCAGGATTCATATTAATTTTCCCTCGACTGAGGGTCTAGGCAGATAATCAAAATGGATAGAAGGACAAACTCTTTCCCTGTTTAAAACATGCAACTAGAATAACATGTAATATATGTTTTGATCATTTACAACATAAAAAACTTTTTTGTTTGTATCTAAAAAAAAAAGACATTACCGGGTAACAACACATTATATAAAATCCTTAGCTTGAATGAGACAAAGTTTCCTCACTTTGGATAAAAAGGGATAATATTTCTCATCATAAGGTTCTTACATTGAACACAATATTTCTGTTGAAATCATTACAAAATGCATAAATAACACAAAATATTCAAATAAATAAATTGAGTTGTAAATAAAATTCTTGGTCTATCACAGATGTAACTGGAATGTTATTAGTACAAAAACATAGACAACCATGGCTTATACAACTACAATGTAGAAAATTTACCTGACAATATTCATAAAATGGAATTTAGTTTCATTCATTCTCGTCTTACTAAATTCACTGAATGTTTTTTCTCTAGTAAACATCACAAGAAATGATAGAATTGAAAATCCTAGCCTATTTCAAACATTTTAAACTTAAAAAATAACAACCTTTATATAATTAGTTTCTGTAGCAACAAACAAAAAATGTGCCTTTTCAACCATATCATAAAAAAGTAGATTTCGAACATTTTATATAAAATAACTATGTATTCATTCCTGTTCTTCTCTGTAAGCTATTAACCCTGAGAATCAAAAATTAGCTGATCTCTTCATCTTGAAGTTTGGATGCTACATAGCCATCAATTTGTTCTTGCAGTAGACGAATAGCTGACATCTTTTGGCTTAGTATTCCACTAACTCGCATAATATATTCATCAAATGTCTGAAAATAAGACAACATTATAAGATATATATACCAAATATATTTCTCTCAACGTTCACAATACACAGAGTATAACATTTAAATAAAATAATGTCATGAAACTAAAGAAGAGTGATGGTAGCCATCATAGAGGGTTAGCCTTGAGTAAATAAGTAAATTGTGATGCCATTACAGAGGGTTTGCCTTGAGTAAATAAATAAGTATATTGTGATGCCATTTTAGAAGTAATCAGGGTTATTCCATTCAAACATAGCTAATACAGAAAGTTTACTGATGCACCACTAATTCATTCCCAAACTCTTAAGTGGTTATATTATAAATTAAAGGGCAGAAACAATTTTTGTACATATGCATAGGGTGGCTTAATTAAACTAAGTTTTAAACAATTGCTTTCAATCTATGAAAATGTCTTTCCTTGGTTGCCACACACGGACTAGAGTTGTTGGATAATCGTGCCAGATTTCATTACCCACTCCATTGGTTTTTAAAGTAAGAGAGTGGAAACAATTTTTGTACATGTTCACAGAAGTGGACAAGTTTTTAACCATAACTTTCAATGTAGTTTTTTTTAGATGAACACATCACATCTTGTAGCAGTAGTGAATAATATAAAATTCCAAGTTTCATTACCTTACTTCAAGGGGTTTTAGAGTTAAAGAGCAGAAATAGTTTGTGACACACAGACAGACGAGCTGTTACTTCCGCCCATTTACATATTGATATATGTCAGATATATTCTAAAATGAATAAAGTTAACCTCCTCTCCTCCAAACCTACCTTTTGTCCAGCTTTAGCACCAAGTAAAAGTTTCATTTCTTGTTTACAGAGTGAGGTTACAGAAGCCAGTTGATCTTCATGTGATGAGATTAATCTTTGTCTACAAAACAACAATGTCATGAATGTGTGAAAAATACAATAACTTCAAGCTGTATTTATTGTTTTCAGTTTGTATGTTTTAAAATCTTCTCGACAAAGGCAAAGAAAACTAAGTATCAAAGAGCCATGTGTAGAAAACTAATGACAAAACTTCAGGAAAACTTACCAAGTGTAAAATGTAGGTCACCATTAGCCAAATATTTAAGAATTATGTCCATCAATGAAATAAGGAATAAAATATGAATGATTTATCATTATGCATGTCAAAAATGATATAGTGTGAGATTAAAACAAAGCTGTTCAAGCATGTATCATACTATGTAGATATAGATAAAATACTGAGGATATTTTTGGTACTAAAATTTAAAAGAACTATTGTCTATGATGAGTTTATTTACAATCAAATATCTAACATTCTACCACAGTTTTTTAAAGGGCCCTGAAATAAAAAAAAAAACTTTAATTCTTTCCAAATTATGTAAGTTTTATTAATATATGAATAAGATAATGTAATCTGGACACTTTAGAACAGAAATTTCAATTGTGGTGTCACCATTACAAAATTAACTTGAAAATTGACATATTTGAAATGATATTGGAACTTAAAATGGCCATTTCACACCTCGTTTTTTGCAAAGTTAGATAAGAGCCCATGCCTTACCCTAACAGATTTTTTAACCTACATTAACATCTCTATATAAGACATCTCATTCAGCGCAAGATATCTTTTTTGTGTAAGGACTTGATTCATATCTAAATATTAATGAGAAGATCTCAATAGCAAATATGTAATATAAAATTCACAAACAAAATAACTGATATCTGTTCAACTGATGTCTTGTTAACATCTGAATCAAGTTATTTGATAGGTTTAAAATACTTTTTTATTTTCAAATTCAAGGGTCCAGAAAGTGACCATATCATTTCATAATATGCATTTCTATATAACAATAATGACATTCCTTATATTAAAGCAGATTCTAACGTAGAATATATACATACCTCAAACTAGGAGACTCTGTGTCAACTGACCTGGGATCAGAAGATGATGGTGACAATACAGGTTTAGGATGAACTATATCCTTGTGTGAATGCCCAACAGTTGTTTTAGACAAAGCAGTTGATGTCACTGGCTGTGGATGTATAGGAGAAAATGCTGAACCATTATTTAATTTCTCAGTCTTTATAACATTATTTACTGAACGTGAGCTCCCAACAGGAGAATTAACATTTCTCTGATTGACGGGAGAATACACATTTCTCTGGTTAACAGGAGAATACACATTTCTTTGACTGACAGGAGTTTTAGACCCTGTAGACCCAGTACTTCTATCACTTACTGGAGATCTTGAATTTGGCTGCCTTCCTTTTTTAACATGATGTAATGAGTCCCTAGCATTTTTATATAAATCTGAGTCACTTAAGGCACTGTTTTCCTTAGGTTTTGGTTTAGAATGATGATTATTCAACATTTTAGGTGACCCAATATGTGTGTTATCACTTGAAACTGTTGTTGCCAGTCCACTGTCACTATGCCCTGATAAATTATTCTGTGCTGGTTTTGACCTTGTATTATTAGGTTCATTTTTAGAAAATGCTGATTTTAAACGGCTGGCAACATCTTTGTGTGCTACACTAAGTGATTGTGCTGGCTTATCATGATTCCCAGGTCTTTTCTGAATGGGTAAGAATTCTGATAAATTATCCTCAACAGTTTTAAGTCCCGTTTCCTCAAATTCTTGTGCAACTGGTCGAAAGAACGGTGAATTTTCTTCTGAAGGAGCAAAATTATACTTGTCATACTTATTATTGTTTCTTTCAGGTTTTTGTGTATCTTCGTAGTCACTATGTTGATCAGTGCTGATATTAACAGACTTTTGAATTGAGGTAGCTATATGAACAGCAAAGTCAGCAGGAGTTTGGTACCATTGATTTGTTGACAAAGGAGATATATCTAATGGCAGCTGCTCTGATGGAGACTCGTTTCTGTCAGGTCTGGAGTTTTTTCTCTCAATTTGGGGATTATGCTCTCCATGTATTTTTTGTGCATTAGCCTCCATATCAAGCTGCAATCTTCTATGTTCATTTACACCTTCTAAAATAGAAGAAATGTCAACATTCGGACGATGAAATCCTTGAGACTCGGCATGAGATTGTGTCAAGATCAGGGGTGGTGTTCTAGCAATTTTTGGACGACTCTCTGTAGGGTTTACTAGAGCCAGCTGAAACGGAGGAGGTTCCAAATCTGGTTGTTCAAAGTGACTTTTAAATCTTGCTGGGGACCTTTGTGAGAATGTGGTCAAGTCGCTGCTTTTTGCTGGCATGACTGCAGGTAAAATAGGATGAACGGATGGGTCCTGAGGTGTTTTTAACTGAACTTCTCGTCCACGGCTTAAACCCAAATTATTCAGCCCATTATCACCATTGGATGGGGTCCTTTGTATTCTCTGAGATATACTGGATTGAAAAGAAGGTTTATCAAATAACATATCATCCTCAAAACTTTCTGACAATACAGGTTGAAATTGATTATGATGTTGTGGGGAAGAATCCGACAAACGAGGTGTTGTAACGGCAGCAGAAGATGATTTTGTGTCAGTTTTAGGTTGTGATAGATTGTTACCTGCTGGAGTTATATTATTCCCAGGACCTGACTTTTTTTGTGACAAGTCATTAGATACATATGGTTCATTAGTCTCTTGTTCACCTGGATCTTTATATACTTTCTGTCGTAAAACTGGAGCAACAGATGAAGAAGACACTTGTGAAGATTGTGAACCAGTATATTTAGGTATTGCCCCATGTGAACTCCAATCAACAACAGGAAGAGGATGCCCAGCAGTGGACAGCTTGAGGGCTGATCCTGATGTAGGATTGTTTGCACTAGATACTTGAAGAGTTCCATATTTACCACTACTTCTGTTTAAATCATTTAATTCTTCTTCGTTGTTGAAATCGGTTGTAGGAAAATCATTTTCAGTATCTGTAGATTTTATTACAGGAACATTTTGACCACTTGCTGTGGCTGGTTTTACAGTTTTAGCATTTGTGTCTATATTACATGAATCTGAATCAATATGATCTGATTCACTTTGAGATGAGGAACTACGAGCCACATGTCGAACTACAGAAGTTCTGGTTGGAACACTTGGGGTTGGCTTAGGTTGAGCAGGTTTGGTAGCACTTTTGTTAACAGTTTTTCTTTTAACACCAAGTCCTTTTATAGGCGTTTCATTAGGGTCCAGATGAAAATCCCTTTCTGACCCTCGATTGTCCCTATCTGATCCCCTATCTGCTCCTCTGTGACTACCTGTGTGCCTTGTAGTCTTATGTCTAACCGGAGTTGACGAACAAAGAATATTGTTTGGATGAAAGACTGACGGTCCTCCAGATGGAGGAATATTTAAAAGTAAGGAACTAGAAACAGAGCTTCTTGATCCTGCTGGTATACCTTGTTTACGTAATTCTTTGACTCTGGAAAATAAGTTATAATAATTGATTAGTACAGAAAAGAAAGAATAAATTGCCAGAATATAATAATATTACATTAATGATTCCATTTCAACCTTAGAATTTTAACTATACTTATAGAAAGTTAATATATTATAAAAGATTTCTTTCCTAGAATACTTACTGATTAGGAGCAATGAAAAAGTGGTGCAAAAAATTAAAGGTTAACACTTTGTCTTCTGGGATTTTTTGTGTTGTTGGTTGCTGGCTCATTGATGTACACCCAATATATTCGTTTAGACATATGAAACAAACTATTAGCCTTTCATATGTGCCAGCTGTTGATGTCAGGTATTAAACTAGTATTTATTAGAGCTAAGTCCCTCTTCTTTGCAAATGAATAAGTTCTGGTTTATTGATGTTTTCTCCAACCAATACAAGCAGAAATCAGTAATAATAACAGTAATTTATGAAAATTTGAGTATGATAAAGATATATTCAATCACATTAGCTAAATGGTCCAATCTGGTTCGATTATTGTTGAACGTTTATTTCAACTATGAAATGTTCCTTGATAATAATATCCCTTTTCTGTACCTTTGTTCTAATTTCAATTTTAAATTTCTTACTTAGTATGTTCTTGGTTAAAGTTGGATCTTTGCACTATTTCAGTCTTTTAGAATAATCGTGGAATTATGCTAATGGCACTGGTTTTTTTTTTTTCAATTCTTGTTGTGAGTATACATCATGAAATCCATACATTTACTGTTGTTTTTAATATTTCTATCATACATATGAGATTCATGCACTTTTAAAGGATATCCTTTCTTTCACATAAAAACCAAAAGTCATTCATGTATGAGAAAAACATTGCTAAGATAAACTATACTGTAGTTGGAATCTATGTTTCCCTGTGCAAAATTTACCCACTGGACATATTCCTTGATGGCTAGTAACATCTTAGATATTGACTCCATAGGAAAAGGAAATATAACCATAAAGCTACTGAAGTATATTTAGTTTCTTACCTGTCAGCATATCTGAGAGTGTTAAGGGTATGTTCACACGATGACTTTGTTGGAGATATATTAGCTATCATGCATGTTTTAGAATTCCCTGTAAATGATTCTTTCAGTATATGTGTCAGTTTACTTTGTCTAAATGGTTTATGTTTACTTTCTTGGTCTATAGAACGAATACATTCTTTTAGCTGAAAAAGATAAATAAATAGTTTTGAAAATACAGAAATGTGCACTGACAAAGGGAAATTTTTAACAAATTTTCATATTTCTTTTATAATTAACTATTCAGGTTTATGTATATGTTCCAATCAGTATCTTTGTTTTAAAAAAAAATGGACAAATCACTCTCTGAGATAGAAGAAATAATTAATTTTACCCCAACTTTCAAGTCTAAGTTATTTCCCCTTAAGTCAGATCAGGTGTCTTTTTCTGAGCATCCCTTCTAGGCATGTTGCAAATATACATTTATAATAATTTACCAACTATCATTTAATATACAACAGAAACATCTAAAACTTGAAATTTAAAGATAAAACTATCAAAAAATTATGTGTTGTTAAGTGTATACAAAATTTTCAGAAAAAAAATCCTTTTAAAACCAAGGGCAGATAATTATATTGAAATCGATAGGATAGTTATTGGTTTTTGGAATTATCAAAAAAATAAGGCCTGTGATCCCCTATTTTTATTTGATATTTAGGAAGTATTTATGAAAAGTAATTCTCTTATTGAACTTTTACCAATTATATCGTTTAAAGTTTCTTCAATGAGGAAAAATTAAGTTTCCCATATATAAACCATTTAAATTAACTGATTTCATTAATTTCAATGTATTTTAACGAAAAAAACATGGTCCAAGATCCCCAGTCTTTATATTGAAATTTGAAAGTACACTGACTCAGAAGTCTTTTACAGAAGTTTAAGAAAAATCTATCGTTAAACATTTATACACCCATACTACCTTAACAAGAATAAGAAATTACTTTCGTATCAATCAAGACTTTTAAGACATTTGTGATTTCACAATTGTGATGAATAATTAAGGAAGGTGAAGATGAATATGTTTTTTTTTAACTGGAATTTTATAAAAATTTTAAGGTCCATGCAAATTTATTAAGAAAAAAGACAAAGAACAATTTTCGGAGATAACTTACAGCTAATAAGCTTTGGTTGATTTCCGCCCCTTCAAGACGTGTCTGTCTGTCTGTGTCAGTTACATCTGAAGCTCTCTCACTACCAGCCAAATCAATAAATGATATTCTACAAAAACAATACATATGCATAAGTACATTAAGATCTGAATGATGGTTAAAATTTTGCATACAACTTTGGCTTGTTGAACTGAAAATTGAAAAAATAATGGAATTATCTCTTTTAGTTTCTGAAATATAAGTGATTGAATTTTTTTTCAAAATAGGTGAACATTTGTATAGAAATCACATAAAATTGGCAAAGATGTTCTTAAATTTGTCTTAAATTTTCATATCTCCATTTTCAAACCCAAAGATTTTTCTTTAAAAACTATATGCTGATGGTACATAAATTTCTGTTTTAATGATGTTCAATAATAATAGTCATAGTCTTATTTTTAACGGTATACATCATTCAAAGTGGTGTTCTAGGTGAAAAATACCGCAAAACGTCGAAATAATCATAACATCATCGATTGTAGGCAGTAAAATGTTGATTTTTGACATTTCACAAAGAGGTAACAGATTGGCTAATACAAAAACGAAGTCGGTGACTTTATAATTATTTTATATCATTACAACAGAAATTTATGTATCAACAGCATATAGTTTTTTAACAAAAATGTATGGATTTGAAATTTGGAGATTTGATGATTTTAAGACAAATTTAAGATCGTTTTTCACAGATTTTACGCCAGGATTTTTTAATTTGTTGGTTTACAAATCTGCTGACCCTATTTTTCGAATTTACAGAAGAAAAAAAAAATAGACATTTCATGCTTTTTATTCCCCTTGACCCTAACAAATACATGATCCCTGAAATATAAATAAAGATATCTGCTTAGCTTCATTTTCATAAAATTAAATGCAATAAATATCTACAGAAATGAATACACATTGTGTTCTAAAAAAATAAAATCTAAAAATAATCTGTAGTTTGCGTTTCTAAAAATAGACAATCATAACTGACCTCGAAATGTTGTTTGCACAAATAATTTTGCGGAACGAAATCTTAGAACCTGTTACAATAAGTTCATTTCCCTTTTATGTCATAATTCCGTATAAAGATTTTTCATCTGGTAGTTGAAATGGATCCTTCCAAATGCATGAAGTGTGAAAGACGTCAAGTTAAAAGTAACACATATTCACAAATAATTTGGTTTTATAGATTGAAAAAAATGTTCGTCGATTTGGACATCAAAAATGGAATTGCATGAAAAAGGATGAAACAGATATCCTCGTCTTTCCAGTGGACGAGTCCACCTAATTTTTGACACAGATTTTTGTGCGACGTGTTCATGTGTTTTCGTGCTTGAAGCTCATTAGTCACAATGTTTCCTGAAAGATGATAAAAAGCAACGTGAAGCTGTCTATTCGTGTTTGTGAAATGACCGTTTATTTTCCTAATTGACCGTGGACATATACCCCCTAATTATATGACGATGGCATGTATTGTATGTTTAAAACAACTGAGCAACAATATTTGGAATATAATTTAAGACATGATGACAAAATAGCATACCAAATATATTGTGAGTAAGCTGAAATATATATATATATTTTATACATATTCATGTATTGTAAGATTTTTTGTTTCTTTTTCTATCCGAAAGACCAACCGGAGGTTTTCATACAAAAAATCTGTAAACCAACAAATTAAAAAACCCTGGCCTTTAATATGGGCTTTCTATACAATATTCACCTGTTTTGAAAGAATTCAATCAGTAATATTTCAGAAAATAAAAGAGATAAATGCATTATTTTTTTCAATTTTCAGTTAAAGTTCAACGAGCAAAAGTCATATGCGAAATTTTAATAAAATCTGTGACATAGCCCATTTACTGTTCCTTGACCTTAATATTAAACTTTGTCTTGGGGTGTAAGGTCTTAAATGTTGAGTAGGATCACCAAAAAGGGGTCCATTTTGGTATGGTTGCTACTAAAATTGGTACATTATAAGAATATCCTTAACTTTTTCTACAAACATTCAGATGTTAATATTGGTTAAACAATAAGACCTTCAGAAAAGAAAGCATGGAAATATAATTTTACAAAAATTTGGTTCAATATGTGTCTGCATTTTCTTACACAAAAAAATAAGCATTTTAGATCCATTATCTATAATTATCTATAAATAGTAAAGGAGTTCCAAGTAAAAAAAAATAAGGAACAGGAAATGGAATGTAACAAAGAATGGTGGTGTATGCCTCAGGGTGTATGCATTTTCAACACCAGTGTAAAATTCCGTACACCCCTGATTACACCAAGTTAACGAATTTATTTCTTACGAAGCATTATTTTACTCATTTTTAAACCAGGATGTAAAATTGAAAAATGCTAATGAAGAATTTCAAGAGTAACTTTTTTTTCAACACTGATGTTGCTGTGCATTGTCAAATACTTGTTTTCCCTTTATTTTCTGGAAATTTGGATTTTTTTTTTGTTTTGTTTTTTTTATTTTGGAAAAAAAATATTTTTTGTCCCCAAATTTATTTATTTTTTATTTGTCAATTTTTATTTTTTTTTTTCATAATTTTGGCAAAATTTTATCTATCCCCGGGTGAAGAATGGGTGGGGTGTTTTTTACACCCAGATAATTAACCAATCAGATTGCAGGATTCTTGCTGCATAAGAAATAAGTCCTTAAATGCCCCTGATGCTGTATATCTTACAAACAAAAAGTGTCCTTACTCTTTGACATCCTATTGATATTAAATGATATTACATTGATTGCTATGAAATACCATGATTCTCCAATAAAGTAAAAACCAATAATTTCACTCATCTGACTTCTTCAAACTTGTGTTATCAAGACATTGTCAATGACATTGCAGCAAAACCAATAGAGAATGCATAGAAAAAGATATAGTTCCTTGTCTTTTCAACTTTATTTCCATTAATAAGTCAATGGTCAATGTAATTAAAGATAATAGATTCAAGGATTCATATATCAAAAAAATATTCAATTCGTGACAGAACAACACTGTTAATTAACTATTGAGCTACAAGCATTTGTGAATTAATGTGTTGTTCGGTTACTTGTTGAATATTTTTCTATATTTCAATTCTTGGATTAGTTATTCTATAAATATCAATAAGCAGAAACATATAATGTTTAAAAAAATACCTTCCAACTCTTTTGTCTGATGAGTTGCGTACTTCGAGCTGTAGAACAGCGTGAGATCTCGAAGAGTCTGGATTGACTCCAGTAGCACCTTTACTTCGTGCATTGTTGCCATAATCTATTACCTGCAAAATATATATATTGTTATTAAAAGAACTGTTCTTCCTACATTGAACATCACACAATGATGTTCTAAATCTTGTGAACTGTCTTCATTAAAATCAAAATTTAATCACTTGTAAGTTACTTATCTCATTGTTCAATCTTTCCTTTATTCCTATTTTTTGCATCATTTTATTTTTATTGAACTGTTCATAAGTTATTGCACGGAAACAACATAAAGTAGAGTGTCATTTTCCAGTCTATCAAGGACCATAACTCCTGACAGTAAAAGTGAAATCCATAAAAACCTTAACCTCAATTTTGCCATCAGTAACAACATATAAAAATTTGAAGAGCTTTGGTTGAAAAGCTCATAATTTATTGCACAAAAAAGGTTGGCAGCCACCAGCTCGCACGCCTGTAGTACTTCACCATTTCCATAACCAGATTATTTTTCTTCAGAAATTCTTGCTAAAAACCTTGGCCTTCTTGTTATATGCTGTTAATGCACATATCACATCTTATATTTAAAACTATTTAGGCATGTCTTTCCAAATGTTTACCCCAAAAACTGTATATCAGGGCTTCCAAAATTATTTTTAGCCAGCCGGACATTTTATATATTATCCCAATTTTAATCCCTTAAGACTAAATAAACAAAAGGCAATTATGGTATTCGGTTGCTGAGTTGGCCATCCCAATGATTGACATTAAAAAAAAACGACATTAAACTTTCTTTGATTCAAATTCGAAGTTCTGACGTAAACTGTTAAATTGGCAGTGCATCATTCGAAGTGTGCAACATCACCGTACTTATATCTGCCTTAGACTCTTTATTTGTGCAAAATAACGTTGTCAAAAACTTTACATTCGTTAAAATCTTATACCGGATGTTATCTTGACAATGGTAAAACATGGACCAGAGATGGATACGTAAATTCCGTGTACGTTTGCAAAGCATGAATGAGTGTACGTAGCTCTTTCTACGTTATTTCTTCAAGAAAATATTGGAAATAAAAGTGAGATAAAGGTATCAATGACAATTTAAGCATTTTTTGAAGAAATTAGGATGCATAATTAAATTTCACACCTGCGCACATGTGTACTAGTTCAAACAGAGACATGTCTCTGGTTCAAACAACGTGGTTATGACGATTTTTCATTTTCACCTTTTTAATTTTTTCATCAAATCATATTTGTAAACGTATTTCTGATAATATAAATCTTTTTGACTAAATTAATTAGATGCAAACCGCTGAAATGTAAGAAAATAACTTTGAATAGACTGATCAATGTCTGGTTCAAAAAAGTTTACCTGTCACCTGAACAGGTAAATTTCAGCTGTTCGACAACTAATTAGCCTTGATTAAAATGAGAAGGTATTAAAGTAGGGGTTGTTTTGATAGTACTTAATGATCATGTCACTTTTATGACCGGAAATGTGTGGCTGTTAAAGGAAAAAGGTTGGGTAAAAAAGATCGCGAATTATGTTAAAATGACCGTCTCTTAAGAAAGCCTTGAAAACTAAAAAGTAGATGACCGTTTCATGCTTTGCCAAGCCGGACTTTTACCGGACATTATACAAATGTCCGGAATATATGACCGTTTTGGAAGCCTTGCTGTATATGGGAACTCCAGATAAAATATATTCAACCAAAATGGATCTACTAGTATCAAACCTGCATTAATGCTTGAACATCTTTACATTCTGTCTCTGTCAGTCCTGCTATACAGACCCTGTTAGAACCATCTTCCCTGGCTTGTAATCTTAAAAATAATGGAATTCTTCACATAACAAATAAAGAAATAATCTGCATATAGAACCAAATTTGAAGAACAAATTCATAAAAGTGTTAGGTAAAATAAGAGTTAATTAGATGTAAGAATTTTACAGACACTAAGAGGTCAGTAAAATCTATTTGAAAACAGTTCTCATTGAGATGCCCAATTCTGTTTTTTTATAGGTTTACAAAAGTCATTTAGATTACTCATAAAAATCAATTTTCTTGTATGTGTGATCACATTTTTTTTCTACACTTAATCATAAGAGCGAAAAGCAAAATATTTCATTCCAAATTTCAAAAGCAGAAAATATGAATTGAGAATATTTTTAAAGTTTAATTGGGGAAAGACATGAGACTCCGGATAGGGGGTCCTTCATTTCTTTATACTTTAATTCTTTATTTAGATACCCCCTCCTACACACCCCCCCCCCCCCCCCCCCCCCCCCCCTTTTTCCATCTTATATTTCAAATAAAACTTGATCTGCACAAAATTGATTAGAGAAAATTAAAGGTTAAAATCAATTTTGTACTCTAATAATAACTACCTGTTTCTTTTATTGAGGAGATCAAAGAGCTGTCCACAGTAGATTTCAAAGAAGCTGACCCAGACTTTAAGACCAGATCCATACTGTTTGGAGTCTATAATTGAGTAGATATCATGAGCTGCCAGTAAATATTGTCCAGGAACCTCCTGATTCCCCATCATTGTATGAGTTTTACCTGCTCCTGTTTGACCATAAGCAAAACATGAGGCAGTCCCACTAAAAAAATAAAGTTATTAATTAGTTTAAAGTTTAGAAATTAGTTCTTACTGTGGAAGTTTTTGTCTCATAGACGGTTCAGACAATTCTTTGGTTGAAATTAGACTTTGTGGTTTCATTGAAGTTAAGTTTAAACACCAAATCATTACATTAACTCATACTGTTCAAAATGTTAACAGAAGACCAAAACTGGATCTGGACACAGTTGCCACACATGATTGAGGTATTTTTTGTGCTTTTTTTTTAAAAACTTGAATGTATATCTATTCAACAGGTATGCATGCAGTACCTCTGCTAACTATAGTTTATAGGTATGGAAGTGGGTCAAATGGAGATCATGATGTAGCAAACCTTGAAAAATAACATAATAAATAATACATGACTGTATTAATAAACATGAAATAGCTGTGCAGATGGTATGAAAATGTGTCAAACAGTTAACCTTGATTTAACTTTATACATTATAAAAATGTGGCATATGTAGTTTTGGGAAAAAAGTGACAAAGTATTTATTGACTATTGTATGCATACCATGTTTAAGATAAATAGGAGGTAGATGTACATGTATTACTGGTTTAACAATGGATCACATTGTTTAACTTGACTTCATAACACTCACTTCTAAAAATGCAGTGACTGCCAAAAAATTAAACAAGTTTGTTTGTATATTATGAATTACATTTAACTTATCAGCTTTAATATATAAAAATATAATGTTGATAGATGTGTATGCAAATCAGTCTTACAGTGTTATTATCTTGATGAAGCTTACTAGTAGATATGAAATATAGTGATATGTATACAGAGATAATTTTATCCAAAATTTCAAATATATATTCAGCAAACAGAAGGATATGTTGTGGATAAGATAATGGGTCACATTGGTAACCTTGACAAAGCTCACCACCAAATATAAAGAGCCTGTTTGGTATACTTACTCTCAATACCGTAAAAACTCAATTGATTATTTTATCAGACTGGTGCATATAATTGTATCTCAAAGAGGTCATTTAATTTAGTACAAAAGAACATTTTCTTAGTTTTATACACTTACCCTTCAAAAACACAATTAATAAGAGGTCTGGTGGCCCTTATATAAACATCTTCATTTGAACATTTTTCATTGAATACTTCATCAAATATAAACTCATGCTGAAATGAAAAAGCAATGTGCATACAGAAAAAAGAAATAAAAATTATAGTTGATTTACAACAGTTAACATGCATGTGATATATAATATATATATGTGAAATTTAGTAGATCTGTAAAAGAATTGACAAAATATTTCATTACATCAGTGATACCTATGAAAGAGATGATAATTCATTTTCAAATTGGTAAATCTCTCTTTTAAAGTAACTAGTCCAAAATGACAATATTAAGATATGTGGCTACAAGTAGCATAACCATGTGTTAGTAAATGAACTTGGCAGGAGTGCAAGTTACAGTTGAGTATGACTGGCCCTACATAAAAGCTTTTAGCCCTATGATGGACATATTTGTTATTATTGGCGATCTTGATGCATTAGTTTGCTAATGGAAATACACGCATATTCTAGACTCAACGATTATGTCTAGTCCATATATGGGGGGGGGGGGGGGCGGGGGGCAGGACCTTTTTCGGGACGTCGGGATCGGGTGTTTTTAAGCTCGGGATTTCGGGATTGATCCTTTCGAATTTCGGGATGTTGGGATTTAAATTTCTTTAAATTCGGGACCTCAGAATTTCATGTTTTTAAGCCCGGGATTTCGGGATCAGGACCGCTCCTACCCTCCCCTCATATATTATGCATGAAAAAGAAAGCGTATACTATAAACATACCTGTAGAGTGTATGCTCTCAGATCAACAGCTGATTTTGGTTCATTAACAGTCAATGTAGTGTCACTTTCTGCTTTAGCAATGTCATCATCTGTATTCTTTATTTCACGTTTATTTCTAGGTCTTTTCCTTACACAAACTTTAATTCTTTCTATAGCACTAGAATGACTAGTTCTAGAATGACTAGTTCTAGATCTACTTTTACTATTTGTTGGAGTATTTGGTGCATTTGATGGAACACCATAATTATATCCCTTTTGTTTGATGCGGTTGACAACTGATCTCCTTACTCTAGGGGGTGATGATGCTGCATTTAAATGTTTGGTTGCTGGTTCATAATCTGAATGATCAGATGAATCTGATGAAGAATCAGATTCTGAGCTTGCTAATAACCTTAAAAGTTCTGCACGACTTGTTTGACTTGGTGGGTTAATTGGTCGTTCATGAACTCTGACATCACTGACAGCATGCAATGCTTGATCACCTCTCCCACGATTACCTGAAACCAATGGACTTCTGTTACGTTTCCTTGGTGATGGATTGTGACTATTTGGTCTGGCAGCAGACAAATTGGAAGGCTCTGTAGTATGAACTGATTTAATAATATTGATAAGTTCAACTAAGCGTCGTCTGTCTTCATGGGAAGTAATACCTATAGCTGCACAGTCTTGTGGTGTCAGTCGTGCTAATGCTTCAGATTTTGTAATCCCATTCACTCTAAGGGTTGGATAATATTTTTCTAATCTTGCCTCTTTTAAACATTCATAGAGCGTTCCCATATTTCATGAGTAATAAAGTAACTGTTTCAGTTAAGTATTTATAATCAACCTGAAAAAATGAAATAATTTTCTGAAATTTAATTAATAAATTAAGAATCAATATTGGAATTAGCATGTCTCATGTCAACATTCAATACCACATGCATTAATGGTTTGTCAAAAGTGTGGACACCAGAAGACCATTCTTCAAGGGCTGACTGACTTGCATGCTTTAATATACATGTATGTCTAATAAGGCATCATCAACTGCATTGTTTAGTAATGTGTACCTGCACCATGTGCATAGCTACCTTTTATGCTACTGAAACAGGAGGATAGTGTCAACAGTCTACAAGGTTAAATAGTCGGTAATTGAATGCAATTGATAATGTCTAGAATGATCAAGAATATAATAGAATTTTTGCAAATTTTAAAATATTCATACTTCATAAATTCTTGAGGACGACATTCAAATCAGCAAATGAAAAATGACACTCAGTTAATCCATTTGGCAGCTAAATGTAGCTACATGTAGAAGTTTGAAAGTAGGTCTCCTCTACTTTTTTTGGTTTGGTTGTTGGGTTGCTGTCTCACTGATGTAATATCCCAGTATTTATTCAAAGCACTGGACTTAACATGCTTACAGATACAGTTAGGCATGGACCAGGGCTGGGTTTTTTGAAAAAAAATTATCTGGCCTCTATTTTGACAAAAAAAAATAATCTGGCCTATTCAGTTGCTAAAAAAAATATTCTGGCTTTTATGTTTCAGCAAGTATGACATGTATGATGTTGAAAAAAAATATTCTTGCTCGGTTTGCATGATAAAAAAAAATTTAAAGTTTTGTAATCTTATTCAGATATTAAAATGGTAAATATTAAAAATGAATATCTCCAAATTCATGAATAAACATTGAAATAAAAAAAAAAGGTTTTTGTTTTGGAGCATTAATCAGGCTAATTGGCTTCATTGTTACATTTGTTTTTATTCAGAATTACTTTTAATGACTGTTGATTGTAAATAAACTCATCATAGATACCAAGATTGAAATTTTGTACGCCAGACACACGTTTCGTCTACAAAAGACTCATCAGTGACGCTCAAATCAAAAAGTTAATAAGACCAAATACAGCTAAGGTAATATATTTCTAGGTGGAAAAGCCTAATTATTCTGATAATTCAAAGTTTTGTAAATTAGAATGCTTATTAGATATGATTACGATGTCTTTGATCTCATTGATTGTTGTAGTTATTGTTTTTGATGGACCAATAATGAAATTGTTTTTTTTTAAATAAACAAGTCAGCTTGGAACGAGTTAAAACAATGATGTAAAAATTGTAAGACATTAAAGGGAAATTGTTTTCGCCGCTTAGCTTCTTTGATCTCAAGGTGTTGAGTGAGTTTAGCTTGTTATACCTGTTTGGATTGTTTTAAAATTGTTACAAGGTTTCAAAAAAGATAAATTCATACAGATAACTTGGTCTCCAGTTCCTGAACACTTCTTCTTCTTCAAAATACTGTCCACATTCAACACGATAAATATTCTGGCAAAACGTATGATCTGATCAAATATTTCGGCGGAATTTTCAACAAACTATAACATAATTAATTCAAATAATTCATATTACACAAGACAACAAAATAAAATAGAAATCAGGGCGAACGGACTCAGTGCGAACAGGAATTAGGACGAACGGACCCAGGGCGAACAGGTATTAGGGCGAACAGGTACTAGGGCGAATGCAAATCAGGGCGAACGGACCTGGATTCCTCAATTCAGGTATAATCCACCATTTGACATATAGTGAGATAGACCAATTGAAGTATAATGCAGTTTTTATCACAAAATTTTTTTCAGAGATGTTCAAACATCTATTTGAATATACCATCTTAAGCCTTGATGAGTACTCATTGGTGACTTGTAATTGCTTCTGACTTCCTGTGCTGCATTTTGTGAAATGGTGGATTATACCTTAATTGAGGTAAGTCGATCTGCATCAGTACGAACTTTAAGATTTGATTGCATAAGTGGATAGTAAGAAACTGCAGAACAAAAATAAGAGTAAAGATATAACTCATAATTTATAAGTGGCAAAATGAGGGTCATATAAGTTTTGGGGTTTTTCTAACAAAATTCAGAATGAAGTGTCAGAAGCAATTACATGTCATCACTAAGTGGTCCTCAAAGTATGGTTTATGCAAAACGATGCTTGCATCTCTCTGAAAAATTTGTTGTGCTAAAAACTGCATTATATCTCAAATGGTCTATCTTACTATATGTCAAATGGTGGATTATACATGTACCTGAATTGAGGTATAATCCACAAATCAATGGTTATTCCTGACCTGATTAACCTAACATTCACCAAGAAGCAATACCTACTTATTTCACAGGTATGTAGAAAGGGTGGTGTATTTCTGGCACTAGCCCAGCTTTGTTACATTATTATTAAAACCACTCGTATATTTGCACTATAAAAAAACATCCTTATGATGTTATTTTCTATAAAAATGTTGCCTATAATGTAATGTTGTTACTCTATAGCAAACAATTATTCTCTTTAGAAATAAGTTATTAGTACTCATCTATATTTTTGTGAAAATATACATACTGCATTTCTTTTATTTTGCTAGTACGCCGGCGTCGTGAAATAACGTAATGTCCTGTTAAAACTGAAAACATTACAGGTTCAGGCATGTCATCCAAAGATCCATAACAAACTGGGTCATCTTCATTTCATTCATACAAAGAACTATAATGAAACTTGTAAAAATCATTTGAACAAGACAAAATTATTGGAGATTGACATTGATTATTTCGGTATGAAGCCTTATAAATTATTTATTGAAGAGAAAATGTTATCGAAGTAAATATCGGTCACCATTTTGAAAGACGCGCTTTCCTTGGAAACGATATGATATATCATTTGCTGTACTTTTTTTTCTATTGAAGATAAGTTGAAGGGATTTATGTCAAGATGCATGACAATTGATATGTCATTTTAAATAAAAAAATGATTTAAAAATGTCATTTTACATTTCAAAAATGTTCTCTAACAAGGAGATAGGAAAATTATGGCTTCCGGCGGTGGTTTGGTTGCTGCAGGATTGATTATTTTCCGGAAAATTCAAAGTAATATCGAATATTTGCTTCTGCAGACATCGTATGGACAACACCACTGGACTCCTCCAAAAGGTGAAATGCGTTTTTAAAGATGTTTTAGCGAAGCAATTAAGATTTACAAAACCGTTAACAAGGGAAACAACTCTACAAATAGATATATCCAAATACCAAAATGCTAAAGCGTTGTCCAACGTACTAAAACTATGATTGAAAAAAAAACCAAAGCACTTATATCTGACTTCAATAATGCATCAACCCACATCAAAATTCTTCAACTTTGACATTGAACGCTGAATTCAGGCCTGTCACCTTCCTACCTGTCCCCCTCTTATCTGTTTGCACCAGGTCTGTTCAGTATAAATAAGAAGATGTGGTATGAGTGCCAATGAGACAACTCTCCATCCAAGTCACAATGTATAAAAAATTAACAATTATAGGTCAAAGTATGGCCTTCAACACGGAGCCTTGGCTCACACCGAACAGCAAGCTATAAAGGGCCCCAAAATGACTAGTGTAAAACAATTCAAACAGGTTTAAATTTGTTATCAGGCGCCAACCTTCACCCTAACTTGAGACAGTAGTGTAACATTACAACATAAAAAGACACACTATAAAATATCAATTGAAATGGCTCAATTGATCAAAAAGTCATTTAAACAAAAACAAGTAAACATACACTGAACGAATAAGTTAATTTGATCTATGACACAATATAAATACAATAATAAAAGATAGGTGTCTATATAACATAGACGTTACAGGTAGTAATAAAAAATATGTAGTAAGAGTGTCAATAAGACAACTCTTACCTGGGACAAAATGGCGTTAAATAAAACAACGTACACAGGTAAATTTAAGTATAATAATTTTGTTGTTAATAGATATAGGAAGATGTGGTATGAGTGCCAATGAGACAACTCTCCATCCAAGTTACAATTTATAAAAGGAAACCATTATAGGTCAAGGTACGGCCTTCAACATGGAGCATTGGCTCACACCGAACAGCAAGCTATAAAGGGCCCCAAAAAATTACTAGTGTAAAACCATTCAAACGGAAAAACCAACGGTCTAATCTATATAAAAACGAGAAACGAGAAACACATATGAACTACATAAACAGACGACAACTACTGTAGTACAGAAGTAAACATTTTTTCAAAATTAATAAATTTGTTGTTCAGAGTACGAGTACAGAAGTGAAATTTTATCGTCATACTAAATACTTATCAAAGGTGGTACATATTAAAAATAGTGACGAGAAATAACACAAAATAAGTAAACATTGAATTACAGAAATGCATTACAAATTGTGTCAACAGGTCAAATTAACACGAAAGTACGATTTGAGAGTACTCGCAGTTACCGAAAGCTAGTTAAACATGTTAAAAGCCAAAAACAATTAACAATAAAAAATCATGCATCAGAGACTAAAATCAATTAAAACACATCCCAGGGATTTAGTGTTTTGACGCCATGGACAGTCAAAGAAGACATGACTTGTGCAATGCCAAAATAAAAGTAACGACAGGCAGTAGGATCGTTAGGATTTCATCTTATAATAAACATGTATCATGTTATATATAGATAAAGCAACCTCTAAATAGAAAATTAATGTGGATGTGTATTTATACATCCCAAAAACCATTTCAAAAGAATACAAATTTAGTTATGTTTTAATTTGTTGATGACAAAATCGATGTTTAAGTGCCAATGTTAACAATATTCAAAGATCGTATTACAACATTAATAAGATAACCTTTACTAATAAGTTTGTTTAAAGGGTAGATGAGTTTACAGGGATCACATAGTGATTTCCGCGCTTTAAGTACAATATTACCGTAAAATTTAGAATGTGAAATACCGTTTTTAATAAGTTTTCTACAGGTACAGCAAAATTTACTAATTAAATCTTTGTATCTATGAAGGAATTCAGTAAACCTTTTAAGTAATTTATGGTAACGAAATCCCTGACTTAATAATTTACCAGTGATGCATTGATTACGTTCGTTAAAATCTATGACATCACTACACACAGGCATAACGAATGAATTGGGAAATATAAACACTGTATGATGGAGCCAAAGGAACATCACCATCTGAAAAAGGAAAATTAACAATAGGGAATGAAAAATCGTCTTTTTTGTCTTAAATTTTAGTATGGAGTTTCCCTTTAGAAATTGAAATGTCTAAATCTAGAAAAGGACAACTACTGCTGTTTATGTTAGATTGTTCTAGTTAGACTATGTTGTGTTGTAAAAGGCATCATGATATAATATGAATAATAAGTGTTGAAATAAGGTGAACATCGGCAAAGTATTTTTTTTTTTAAAAAGAATGGTCAAAACCAAGGACGTATATGTTAGTTATATGCCGTTGTCAAAACTGAGATCAAATGAGTCGCTTGAATTATTATTAAGTAATGATTTTTGAAAAACTGGGAATTCAAATAAATATTGAAAACTCAAATTTTTCACATGCATCTTTTTTTTAGCAAAAAGTGCATGAAATGGTTAAAAATGGTCATTCAGGGACAATAACTCCTAGTTCATTCAGGGGCAATAACTCCTAGTTAACAATTTCGGCCCTGTGGACTTTTTTGTATACATTCTTTGGCTGAACACTTGCTTTTTACAATTTCTAATTATTCTTTATAGTTGCAGCAAAAAACTAAAAAATTGAGTATAATTAGTCTTTCAAGGGCAATAACTCCTATAAGGGGTCAATTAACAATTCAACCATGTTAAGTCCTTTGTAGGTCATAATTTGTTGAACATTTTTACTATCAAATGATTCTCTTTTATCAACTACAGTTTCCTGAAAAAAAAAATGCAAAGATGGTAAACATCATCATTTAAGGCATTTATCTCCAAAAGGGGGCATTTGACTATTTCCACTAAGTTGACTCTGTTTTTATATTGAATTTTAATGTAAATGAAGTATTAAGCGCAAGAAGCAATTTCTTTTTCTATGCCGTCTCACTTCATTTTAATGCAACGCCATCTTCTTGATAACATCTTGTGTTTGGTTGTCAGAGAAGTTGATTTACAGGATTTATTTCAAATATGAAAACAAGATTGTATTTTATTTTATAATATATTTCAGGTCATGTTGACCCAGGAGAATCAGAACTCCAGACAGCCATAAGAGAAACAGAAGAAGAAGCAGGACTTAGTCAACAAGCTTACAACATTTTTTCAGAATTTAAATATACATTAAACTATGAAGTGAGAGGAAGATCTAAACGAGTTGTGTATTGGTTAGCAGAGATGAAAAACCCAGAATGTCCAATTATTTTATCAGATGAACATCAGACATATGTTTGGTCAACTCTTGATCGAGCTTTGGAAATTTCGCAATATTCTGACATGCAAAAACTTTTAAAAGAAGCAGACAATCACATTAAGAGTCAAAAGTCATGATAATGAACATTCATTAAACTTGGATATATTAAAAACTGATGTATCAAGTACAGTTTTAACAAGACATAACAGACAAAAAATAATCAACATGTGTAAGACTATTGAGTTGAACAATGTTTCAGACATTTTATTCACTAGTAAATATATTCAGTTTGGAATGACCATTTTTGTTTTTGAGATGTTGTAACTGTTTAATATACATTTTTTAAGCAATACAAGATTATATACATTTTATACCTTTTATTAAATTATTATACCATTTTGAAGGATGTATGTTTTATCAGGTTTAAATACTTTGCTCTTCTGGCTTTAATAGCCGCTTTAATAATGGAATCTTGCAATACATTGTGGAAATTAGGTCAAAACATCTTTTTACTTTAATTTGATGTCTATCATCATCAGTTAGTTATTACATATTAAGCTACTTGGTATATATTAAGCATTAAATCTATGTCCTTTCCTCAGGTCTTTGTCCATTTCAGCAAGTCATGCGCTATGTGTTTACGTCAGAATTATCAAAACTTCATCTAGGAAATATTTTTGAGACATCAACACAACTTGACTCTTACATATATAAATGACAAAATTTGCAAAAATTGTTGTGCAAAGGGAGATAACCAATTTTTTTAATAAAAATACCACAATTTTTTTCTCTTTCTCTATGTTATCATTCTACATGTACTGTTGTATTCACACACTGATGTACTGTCATGTTTGTAATCATGCCCTCAATCAGCACTAATTGGTTTAATAAAAATAATGTATTACTGTATTGTATTGCTTGGTGTCAGGATGCCTGTAATGGAGGATAAAACCTCCAACAATTGGGTCACTGACCTACATTACATGCTTCTTCAGTTTTGTTAAGGTTTACATCCCAGTACAATATTGTGCTCATTTGACTGAAAGCCCTTATGATCTTTTTCTATCACTTGGCCTCATAATCGTTTGTAAACTTTTTCAAAGATCTTCTCCAACGAAACAACTAACCCAATTAAAATAGAACTTGATATCATGGATCTTTAGCATGTTAAGATTATGTCCGTAAACTTTATTTTGGTCAATTACATCAGTGTACATGGACCATCTTTTTTCCTATTTTTCTCACATGAAATAACTATTTCTTGAAAATTTGTCCCA